AACGTACAATTAACCATTTTACAATCCAGTAGTGTTTAGCGCATTCATAATGTGCAACTGTGTTCAGGTTTCTATAACAAAGTACCATAGGCTGATTGGCTTATAAACAGAAATTTATTTCTCACAGTTCTGGCGGCTGGAAGTCTGAGATCAGGGTGCCTCCATGGTCTGGTTCTGGTGAGGGCCGCCTTCTGGATTGCAGACTGCCAACTTGTCCTTGTATTTTCACATGGCAGAAAGAGGATGAGAAAGCTCTCTGGGTTCATTCATGAGGGTTCCATCTTGTGAATATTTCTACTATGAATATTCATAATCAATATCTGTTTGAGTCATATTTTTGAGTCCTTGGGGTATAAATCCTTAGGAGTATAATTGCTGGATCATATGGTAATTTTGTTTGAACTTTTTGAGGAACCATGAAGCTGTTTCCCACAGTGGATGCTGCATTTTACATTTCTACCAGAAATGTATGAGGATTTCTGTTTTTCTACATCCTTGACAAATACTTATTTTGTGCTTTTTTTTTTTTTTTGTCTTTTTTCCGTGTCCAGCAATGGATCGCAACCCTCAGTGTCACGCCCGCACCGGACCGGGACCGGCAACGGGATTGCAACCCTCGGTGTTGCTCCCGCGCCTCGCTCAGCCAGTGAGCGGGAACCGGTCTGTATGTGGGATCCGAACCCTCGGGCGGGAGCGCTGCCGCACTTCCCAAGCGGCGCACTATCCAGTGCGCCACCGGGCCGGCCCTTATTTTGTGCTTTTTTGATTAGAACCATACTAGTTAGTATAAAGTGGTATCTCATTGTGGTTTTTAATTTGCATTTTCTTAATGACTGATGATCTTGAATATCTTTTCATGTGCTTGTTGGCCATTTGTTTATCTTCTTTGAAGAAATGTGTGTTTAAATTCTTTGCTTATTTTAAAATTAAATTATGTGTCCTTCTGTTGAGTTTTAAGGGTTCTTCGTATGTTCTGGATACCAAGTCCTTATCAGATGTACAACTTGCGACTATTTTCTCCTGTTCTTTAGGTTGTCTTTTCACTTTCTTAATGATGTACTTTGCACAATAGGTTTAGATCTTATTAGGTCCAATTTATGTTTTTTTTTTTTTTTTTTTTTTTTTTTTTTTTTTTTTTTTTTTTTTTTTTTTTTTTTTTTTTTTTTTTTTGGCTCATGCTTGTGTTATCAAATCTAAGAATCCATTGCCAAATTCAAGGTCATTAAGATTTCATAATTTCTTGTGTTTCTTCTAATGGTTTTATAGTTTTAGCTCACATTTAGGTTGTTAATCCATGGTTAATTTTTGTCTATAGGGTGATTTTGATTTATATTTCTCCTGTGAGCGAGAATTGAGAGCCATTTCTGTTTCTTTTTCTGTCAATTCTGTTTCTGTTCCTTGCCCATTTTTCTTTTGACTACCTTTAAAATTTCTAAAAAGGGAAAATTTGACAAAATAGGTGTTAAAACATTTTTATAAAAGAGGCAAAGATGCATACTTCAAGAAAGTATGTGGTTAATAAAGAATGCACACTGCTGTTCACATTAGTGGAATGTAATAAAAGTCCAGATATAGACCTAACTACCTGTGAGACTTTAGTAAACAGGTCTTAAAACATATGAAAAGAAATCATCTTCACTTATTGTAAGAGAATTTGCAAAATAAAAGTACTCTTAGTTACTGTTTTTTGTTCACCTATGGGATAGACAAAAGTTAAAAATATTAACCACACTCTGATAAGGCTACTGGAAAAAACAGACATGGTTACAATGTTCGTTGGAATACAGATTGGTACAACTCTTATGTAAAGATATTTGGCAATATCTTCCAAAACTACTTATGTTTATCTATTGACCCAGTCATCCTACTTCTAGGATTTTGCCCTAAAGATATACCTCCAGCAGTAAAAAAATAATTGCACATAGTTACTCAGTGCAAGATTATTTGTAATTGCAAAATATTGGAACAGCCTAAGTGGTCATATGTAGGATAGCGACAAGGAAGATTTCTGTGAACTGATGGAGAGAAATTTCTAGGATGTACTTTTAAGGGCAAAATGCAAAGTGCAAGAGAGTATTGGGAGTATGCAACTTTTTTGTGTGAGAAAGAAGGGGAAATAGTGGGATACACACGTTTCTGGTCATATGAACAAAAAGAAATACAGGAAGAATAAACCAGAGAATAATGAGATTAGTTACCTACAGGGTGTGGGGGTGGTGGTGGAAAGTTTAAAGGGAATTGGGGTGGGGGTATGCTTAATT